TTTTACATTTGACGAGTTGCACTTAAACTTCAATACTAATTCCACTGTATTTCTTATGTAAAGACTGTTTTATATTCATCGATACGGAATGAACATGTTTTTTAACTCGATGTCAACGGTTTTACCTTTTTCTGTGTCTTTTACATAAATGCTGATCGTAATCTGGAAAAAAGTTTGTAACTATTACAATGTTTCACCCGAACATTTATGATTATTTACATCAAAAATATGGATCGTTCTCGAAGATAACCATCGAACTTTCGAATAGTCTACTGCTAGTTATAAGCATAAGGTCCATACTAATGTCCGTCTGTATGTATAAAATTTTGAATCAAATAACACATCTCTAATACTAATCTGAGTATTCTCCACGTTAGACAGTGGAAAGACAACAAAAACTTAAACTTCGCCTGTGAGAGGCGAATCTACGGTTTACTCTTAATATAAACTTTCCGACTAGTCTCTCTAGGGAGTTCTAGGGAGTCTCGCGACGTGGCGTTTCGCCGCCTCTTCGAGCCCGTTTTACAATTGATTGATGCTTGTATGACGTGCAATGAACAATGTAACTGAATACAATGTCATTTTGAATCCTACACACTAATAGCCTACATGTATGCATAACCATACTTATGTATATACATACACATACATGCATACATATAGAGAGGAAATAATTATACAATACATTTGCAATATATTAAACGGTACAAGTTTGCAAAACTTCAACGAAAAATTCCATACTAATATTACAAATGCAAAAGTAACTCTGTCCGTCTGTCTCGTTTTCACTCCAAAACTACTGAACCGATTTAAATGAATTTTGGTACACAGATAGTCTAGAGCCTGAGAAAGGACATAGGATATTTTTTTAATTTTAAAATATATTTTTTTAAAGAAAGATATTTATTTAAGGACTTCAACGCGAGCGAAGCCGCGGGCGAAAAGCTAGTAATATAAATCATCATGAAGAAATTTTGTTTCTCTAGATTTCGAAAGAATCACACAGCTATTTGCTCTTTTGAGTGTGATTGATAAATATAATGACATTGTATGGTGATTATTTTGATTTATCATTAGAGTATTTTTGTTAGCTAGTTCGAGTGTATGTAAGTGTGTAGTTTTAAGAAATCATAGTAAATCATCCTACACCAGAAATAATTCATTCTCTAAAGCTTGTCACAGCATCCTCTCGGTATCGGTTGTGCATCTCAATGAGCGGTGGTAACCATTTAACATCCGGTTAAATGACTGCTCATTTGCCATCGTCTTTTATAGAAACTACTTTTTTTACTAATTTAGACCTGTCCAAAAAGAACCAGCAAAAGACTGCGGTCTGTTTTCTTTATTTTGTCATTTACGTTTTTACGTTTTAAGATGTCCTCAGATTCGTCATCTGACCAAATTTTCCGCCAAAACTCTAAAAACGATGCACAAGCTCCTTGACTACCGCAGATTAAGTTGACAACATCATATGACTCGATTTAGATTTATTAAAACGAGGTACGCAGTTGAGGTTAGCCGCAAGCGATCAGTGGAAACGTGAAGCGCATCTCAAATTGCAGCACACAATTGGCCTCTTTAGTGGTGTGTGTGTATACTGTCTTTAGGTTTATTATAGTATACAATATTTGTAAAATTATGCAATATAAGCATTTGTCAGTTTCCCTATTGATTACGAACGATTAAATAAATTGAACAATAAAAAAAAGGTTCTTTCCGACTAACATTAAAAAGGCACCAGAACACGCATGTTATTTGATAACTCACACCAACTTTTTCACAGACATTAGTTCTTTGGCAAAGTTTATTGCTGTTGTGTTAATCAAGGCTGTTGTTGATAATATCTACCACTTATTCCAAGAAACAGTTAGTTCATAGCGGTGTATGCTCGTTTCACTATCAGACTGTTATTACCTTTGTCCGATTTGTCTTTTGATAATTTTTGTCTTTTATAAAAGTAATATTCAAAATGGGAGGAAATTTTCTGAGAAATGTCCATTATGAATTCGGACGCTGCTGCGAAACGTGATGAGTTAAACATTTTGAACATTAATTTCAATGTGTTCCTCAAGGTAGTACACTCGGACCATTGTTAGTAGTAGTGTAAGATACATAATTGATTGTGATTTACCTTATATTTCAAAGTATAGTTTGTTTGCAGATGGCATCATAATGAAGATTACGACTAGTAAAAAAAGTACATTGTAGCATCACAAAACGGATAAAGAAATTAAAACAGTGAACTCAATAGATAAATGGCTTGGTAAAAATAATCTACACATTAATTTAAGTAAGACGAATATAATTTTTTTAAGAACTTAATCTTTAATATAAATGTTAAATGAAATGGAAAACTTCTAAAGCACAATATTTCTAGATTTACTTATAGACTCAAATCTAAATTGTAAGGAACATAAACATAAAGTGTGTAAGAAAATAAACAGATTTGTATACGCGTTACCTAATTACCGAAATATATAACAGAAATACAGTGATCACTGAATATTTTGCATATATAGAATCTCTTATCAGATACGAACTTATAATTTGGGATAATATCACAGATTGTTAAAAAAATATTTTTACAGCAAGCTTATGTTTTTACAAACTAAAGATGTGACAAAAAGAAACTTGCGGAACCAAGATAAATTAGTATTTGACACAATTCCAAAAAGTAGGCGCTTTCAAAAAATTGCATTATATTTAACATTGTGCAATAATATTGATAACAAGATACCCTCACTTATAAAACAATTACCATAAAATAAGTTTAAAATTTTGTTACGACGATGGCTGTTAAAGAAACCATTTGACACAATAAATGAGTTTTTAAATTATTATCTTTTTATTAAAAATCGATGCATGAATTAATATATCTGTAAAGTTGTATAAGGACGTTTTTACTAGTTATTTGTAAATAAAATTGTATTATAAATATGTCTTTTGGTGCTCTTAAAAACAGCTAAATAGGTTAGTTCAACATTGTGATGACAACACGATCAAAATATTTCTGTACCTATGTACTTGCAAATAAAGAAATTTGAATTTGAATTTGATGAATGGGTGTGTTATCGAATATAACTTGACTGCAAATAGACACGTGCGTTTAAGACCTTTTCCTCGACCGAAAGTCGGTCGAGGAAAAGGTCTTAATGTGAATGACACAGAAGCATTTTCCATTTGAGCCAGGCCGTCGTGGGCGAGAATGCATTTAATGAACGTTGGTAGCATTGTGCTATAGGCGAAAGTTTCTTGAACTCCCATCCAAAATTAACGTACGATTGGGAATGTTTTTATTGATTATAGAATTAAATTTCATTATACTATTAAAGTATCAATGTAATTTGAAAAGCAGTGTGGAAGAAAATTTTTAAACGAACTAAATTTTATGGGTATATATTGTATTTTTTTTTTGTTTTTAGACTTAACATGACTTATTAAAGCACAGAGCAGTTTAGTACGAGGAGTTTGGCGTAACATATAGCGGTAGTAACTTAGCAATTTACTGCGAAATATGGTTGGAACGATAGAGGAGAAAATTGTCAAAGAAATGTATTTTAGCACTATGAACCAATATTCTAGTTCAATACCCAAAAACATTTAAGTATTTTGGGGCATATCTTCCCAACGTGCAAAGTACTGACATATTACTAATAAAAAAGAACACAGAAAACAAAACATAAAATCTAGATATTTTTTACTAATAAATCCCAGACTAACAAAAGGTACAAAGTACAATAGAATTGGCTGTTGAAAAAAGTAAATTTTGTAATTTGCAATTTACAAAATTTACGGGAGAAGCGAGCAGTGAAAGGCGAAACGGGATCACGTGTACGGTGAGGTGGGCCATGGGCACAAAGCTGCAGGTTATTTGGTTCGCGGCACACCGCGCCGCCGCCAATTGTCAATTAGCACGAGACCTGACCGGATGAGGCACCGATGTCGGCGAGGCCTCCCCTTCGTCCAACTTTAGGCCCGCGCTGAGCCCCAGCTATGAAATAATCACACCTACTCCCGCCACGGGCGGCGGCAAAACGATGCCGGCTAAATAAGACGCAAGGTAACTCTAATTGTTTGCCATAGCGACGCTGAAACGCCAACGCCACAATATATCGATGACGATTCACGCCACCAGCTAGTTCGAATTATTAATGGAATTAACTGAATTGGAAAACGGATAGTAGTTAGATAGGATAGATAGTTTTAATATGTTGTGTAACAATAAGAAACAATACAGAAATAAATATATATATATATAGAAGGAAAAATTTGTTTTAAAACACCAGAAAAAATTTATATCGAACCGATGAAAAGTAACGTTGAAATGATTTAAGAGTTTAATGGATCGATCGGGTGCGATACCAGTTTGGAATGTTGTTCATCCACGTATGCGACGGATTGACGGAGAGAAGTGACCCGAATAATCAACGGGACATTTACACAATGTAGAAAGGCGTGGTGGATGTCACTTCCTTTACTAGTTGTTGGATACAATAGGCGCTCATTGTTGGTGCTTTCACACAGCAGCACCGACAATAGAAAGGACTGTCCAGCGCTTGGAAACAATTTTTAAGCGACGGGTCGGTCTGACACCGTAGTTTGTGCAAATTGCACGGCTCAGAGGTCCTCTACCCGAGACCTTCAAGACACAATCGACACTAATTCGACCTCATATAGAGACAACCGGTCGTTCGCGAGTCGTCCGCCACGCCCGTAATTTAACAGGCCGACACCGAGGCCGACGGCGCAAGCTTAAGCTGAGGAGTAGCGCCCAACGCGAGCCACGGACCAAGGTACGTACCCGACCCCATTGCGTGCCGTGGTGCTTTCTCGTTTCCATACTCACGGCACACGGCGAGGATCCATTCAGCACTACGCTCAATGGGCTCCACTCAGGCCCAGCTCCAATGGGGGCCGATCCAGCCATTCACTGGAATTGGACGCACTTCCGACCCGCTTCGAGGCAACCTTGGCGCGGGCTAAATAACAAAGTGTCGTACCTCGCTCGGTCCCATTCATGATGGCTGGATAGGCTGACACCGGGGATGCGACGGTGGCGCGACTGTGACGCAACGGAGACGCGACGGTGGCGCGACGGTGGCGCGGCAGGCGACCGGGTACTCGTCAGTGGCGGCCGAGTGCCGCCGCTCCCGCTGCGCCCGACATAATGGAGCGATCGCGCAGCTCGTCAAAAGAAGAATACGAGGGCCAATTATATATTTCCATACAATACGCGTACGGCGGGTGGCGGGCGCTCCGCTCGTGTGCCTCCCGCCGCGGCCTGCCTCCCCGCCCTCCCGCTCCCCGAACCTCCTCCCCGGCCCTCCTCCCGCTGACTCCTGCGCCACCGTATAATTAGGACTCCCGAGTACCATTGACTCACGTTCAGCATATCGGAGTGGTATTGGTCACTGCTCTTCCCAAATTGCATTTTAGTCTCCTGAACGGTGGAACTCAGTGGCAACGGTTAACAAACAATTTGCTTCGTTGACTGACGCTGAGGGGGTTAATGAACTGATTAATTTATGTACCCATGTTTGGAAATGACTCGGTGCTCTTTTTGGACAAAATACCCGAATGCAGTCTTAATATACTTTATGTTTATTATGAAAGACATTTAGATTTTGAGCGCTTTTTACATGTAAAACACTAGGGTTTACATTTCAGGGTCAGAATAGAAACGAATTTGTCAATTGTATAGATGACGTGTAGTCAATACATTTTTATCAGCGGTAAGTTAATATAAATTGGTTCATAGAGTTTTTCTTATGAATTTACACAATTTATAGTTTAAGAAGTTGCAATAGCTATTTTTAAATTATATTGCTAGTACCTAGTAGGGAATCACAGGTAAGAAAACCATAGACTAAACTTGGCATATCATATCGAACATTTTTTTTTTCGGTAGTATCGCTTTTTTACAACTTTCAGAAGTGTGTCTTTTTTATGCCTACTTGGGCTTTTTATAATCTATTTAATCTAATTATATAATACACATTCACTGCCTCTGCTAGTCAGAATAGTATATTCTAGAATCTTGGCCTCATAACACTAGTGCACCTGATGCTATGAAATTTATCAAGATAATTTTTTGAAAATGTTTTCTTAACATGTGTCATCGGTAAACATCATTTAAAAATTGATTTTAAATCTTTTTGATGCAGACGAGAGACCAAAAAAACTAATCTATTATAACTTTTTCTAATTTTATTTTAATCTATTATGTTTTATTCTTTTTGGCCTTCATTTTTGATGTCAAAATTATTGAATGCTGCGGCGCCAACAGTTAACCCTAATATTATAAAAATTAAGCAATGTTGTTTACATATAATCCCGATGAAATCTAGATTTTTGTTTTGATAGATGTATCTGTCTATACATTACATTTACTGTCCTATCATAACATTAAATCGTATCGTAGTGAGCTAATGCTCATATTACCTAGTGCTACAAATGTTGCATACAAACGACATGCGACTATGACTTTATTTGCTTCTCATATTTCTTACGCGGCCACAATTTTTTTCCTTTGTGGCACACGTAACAAGCTTTTAGATTAAAGTGTTACGATTTTATTCCAATTAATAAATATCTACAGGAAAATATCAGGCACATACTGAAAATTTCGATTAAGCTATGTGTGTGTGCAGGAGCCTTGTTCTAACATTATATGAATTACCAAAGGTCATCTTCACCTTCAAATCCATTGAAGTCGCTAAGGACGTAATCCTACTCTCTGGACGTTCGCCGCCGAGGCCGGCGTGATTTTTTTAATCTGGAGGGGTGTATAGTTCACGACCTGTGCGGCTCCGATGGCACGCGACACGCTACGAGCGGTCAACAATTAATTTTAATTGCTTTATTAGAAACTGAGTCACAAGCTGATGCAGTCTTTCCATGCGCCATTCTTTGTACTTTATCCGAAAACCAGTTACTTCTAGTCCGAAATCCATTTAACTCAGAAATTATAATTTTATCACCAACTCATTCTCATTTTACTTAGCTTCAATAATTTGTAAATATATAATGATTCTTGCAATGCTTATTTTTTTTAATAATTAATGATGTTACTTGTTAGTGATATTCTTAAATCAATTTTTCCGAATCTCCAATTTTTTTTCCAGAACGTTATCCCAAATATTTCACACGATCAAATCACAGCGTAGCCTCAGCTCAATGTTAACGTAATGAGGATATAAAATTATATGATTGTTTATGAAGTTTAAAAAAATGTAGTTTACAACAGTTTTCAAATTTCGAGATAGGCCAAACCATATGAAGTACTGATAACAGAAACATCTATTAATGTATAAGCATCTATTTAGATCTTGCAAAGGCGTCTTGGAAGTCGACTCTATTTCAATCCCAAATCTTTATAAATTATGGAGGCATATGGTGTGAAAGACATTAACTTGTTTGATCGAAGAGAATGCATTTATTTTGTGTGTTATTCTAGTTTCCTAGCGTATCCCACAGGTTATTTATTGATTTCTAGTTATTTCTAGTTTAGTCTAGCCTAGTCCGCCAATCCGCAGTTGGTTCGCGTGGTAGACTATGCCGGAGGTCTTCGCCCAGCGGTGGGACATATACAGACTGTTTTGTTTGTTTAATATAATTTGTTAATATAGGATTTACTGCCCATTCGCTGATGCCGTATTGTGGAAATCGTCTATTTCTTCCTCAGGACAGGTCGCACTTAGTGTGGCAGCTAGTATGTACAATTGTAAAGCTATATCTAAATAAAACATTATTCTCTTCTCATTTTCATATTGCTCATGTTATTTCTTGTCACTGTGTCTCGATTGATCCATTGGCGCTTTACTGTCACAGACTCAGTGAAATAGAATACATCAGTATTGCGCCCCTTCATCACTATATTAGTAGCACGGACCTATAGATATTATGCGTGTTATTTTATGTGCGAAGGTGGCAAATGAGCTGGCGGTTCACCTGATGTTAAGTGATAACTGCCGCCCAAAGACATTTGCACCTGTAGGTTCGAGGATGCGTTGCCACCTCTCAATGAAATGTGCGCGAAGTGTAAACAAGGTACGGAAAGTTCCCAACACTTACGAATCCCCGTAATCTACGCGTTGATTAACCGCTTGTTTTTAATGGAAATTTACAGACGCAGAAAATTTTCACACGTACGCATCGAGACCGTAATAAAAACCTCAATCCGGGACCCTCGATAAGGTCCACGAAAGATATGAGCACCACACGAACGGCTGTCGCAATAGATTTCGTAACTGATAAGCGCCTAGTGGAATCGTACCAAATGTTTGTTTACGCGCGATCTAACAATTAAAGATAATGCGCACTTATTTTGTTTACCTTTCGAATACAATAAATGGTTATTGCGCAGTTTATGATGGACAAACTTTGATACCGAAAATCGTTAAACATTATTTTGACACTGGCCGGATAGTAATGATAGATTTCATCTCTCTCGGACAGTTTTGATTTCAGTCAACAGTAAAAGAAAGTAGCAGCCTATAAATAGGACACTGCTGTCCAACAGCCTACTCTATTCACAGGGTATCAGGGCAAAGTCAACCACGTGACCTCATAGATGCTTCGTAGAATTAATAAACTTCAAATATCTTCAGATTATTTATTTTTGTTATTATTTCGAAAATATTGAGGTTTCCTCACGATGTTTTCCTTCGCCGTTGAGCTTGTTGCGTCAGCACTTAAAAAATTGCACTTAACAATTCCCTAAAAAATTGCAATTAGCTCCCAGACACTGATCTATAAGTCTCTTATCAGTCAATAGTAGCATCGTATAAAGTGCATTTACGCATGTTTTCTGTTTTTTCGATTGAAACTTGAAATTTTTTTAACAGGAAACGTACTTACTAGTTTTGTTTTATTTTTGTTATGACAATTTTTTTTACCTGTCATATTACTGTGGTAGGGTCACGCAGCAGCCTCGGCTGTTGCACGAACGGGCAGGCTCGTCCGGGTAAGTACCACGAGCTCATAGAAGACCGAAGTAAAGCGAAAGTATAATACTTTTGCGTTTGGTCTCGTCAGTGAGGTGGCCGGAGCCCAATTTTCAAGAAGGTTGTCAACTCATCCACAAACCTTTGGGTGTGGCAGATGTCCATGGGCGGCGCAATTCACTTAACATCAAGTGAACCGTCTGCTCGCTTGGCAACTTTACACTTTAAAAAAAATTAAACCATACAAAGAAATTTGATGCCATTAGTAGCTACATTACATGAGAAGTATTTGCTTTCGGACAAAAAGGCCAAAGGTGGGTCCCTCTGTATCGGTGATCTTACTGGATTGGCGAAGAGATCTAGAAATATGCCTTTCGCAATTCCTATGACTTATACGGAACCAACGATCATTTGATTTTTATTTTTATGTCCAAAAGGTATTACAATTAAGACAAAAAGTAAAATTAAGTTTCCTGTTCTGTCTCCTTTTAAAAAACGTATCCCTCATATTGTCCTATCGGTTAATAACGGTTCGCTACACCAGAGGCAACAGAAAGCGAAATAATCTTGGAAAAAGCTCGGCTCATAAAAGTGGGTCAATTTTTTTCGCAAACTTTCAACGATCAAGAGGCCATAAAATTATTGTCAATTTGACAAGAATTTTATATATTTTTTTATTTTTGCTTTTAAAAAAACATTGCCCTTACTTTAAGTTAACATTATCCTGTGTTGTAAGGACGTTTTACAAACATAAATTTCACGCGGACAAACACCCAGATACGAAACAACTGGGCAGTTTGGGCTATCACACAAATAGTTATCCCGTGTGGGAATCGAACCCACGACCCCCTACACCGAATCCAATACCTTGGCAACTGCTCCACGGAGTCCTCGTATTTTTAACGCTATGGTATTTCGTCGAAATGAATTTGAACGAGTGGAATGGCGGATTGTTGTTGGAAATAACAACGTTACGTCTCAGAAACAAAACAGGGCAAATCATAAAATTACAAAAACTATGTATGATATTGACATTGCAATATAATAAAATGACTCTACTTTGTTGATAAAAACTAAAATTTTCTAAAATATGATAGAATTATGTTAAAAAAAAAACTTTTCGTACTTTATTTCTGCATATATTTTAATTCTTTTTCATTACATTATAAACATTTCAACACAAAAGTTTGCAAAAGTTAAGAAAAATTATTTATTTGTTGAAATTGTAATCAATTGCTAAATCGTAGTTTGGAATCAGTGTTAACTTTAAACAAGATATACATTTCAGTTATATCTAATTAGAATATTGTGGCGGAGGAAAGCAAGCGATGTTACGAAAGAGCAATGTTTTTACCCTAAAATGTTGCGAAGGTTATGTTTCCTTTTTAAATCTTAATGTTATTCGCTGAAAATATGGTGTGATACTTTTTTCAAAATGGTAAGGTTTGTGTAAAGCGATCGGAAGATCAACGACGAATCTTCCTCTAGCTTTGCACCCTCCAATCACAGACCGAGAAAGATTTGGATGGACTATGTGAAGAATGATATGTAAATGAAAGTATTGAGATGACAGTTGATAGAGGAACGTGGGAGGAAGGGAAATGTTGTGACGACCCCGCCCAATGTGGGATAAGGATAAAAGCACATAAATAACACAGATATTACGTCGTTCATATTAACCACTCTTCTAGTCACATGACTTTCATTCCTTCTCATAATGTGCCCATACCATGACAACCATATCTGATATATATAAACTCGAATTCACTATCGTTACTTGAAAAACTTACACAAAAATTTAACACCGGACAGAATTATTTAAACAAAATATTCTGAACGGAGACGGTACCTCGAGTTGTTGTTTATACGATAACAAAAGTATGAATTTAACTACAATTTTGTTCATGATCTTTCCGTATAAATCTAGTATACTTCACAGAGTTTTGAGCACCCTTAGACCCTCCAGCGAAGGACAGCCCAGATCATTAATGTTATGAATGGATGCTTATTTGTGTAAGGCATGATGATGTTAAGCCTCGTTGTGACAGGTTGTCTTCAAGCTGCCGTTTCCAGTACAAACTCTCTCTAATGCATACTAATACTTGAAATAGTGCACTTGCCGCATTATCGTCAACGCTTAAGTCCGTGGCCCGCGCACCCCGCACCCCGGCCAAACTTAGCGTGGCCGTTTTGTTTACACATAGGCGCCCGTATCGGCGATATGAGTCAACGCTATCGATAATGTTTATCGATGGACAATCGGCGCGGAGGCAGCAGTAGCGCACCGAGAGGCGATCCCCTAGCTCCTGTGCTCAGCACCTCCGGTGACACCGCACCCCGACAAATGAAATCCTGGTGTATACACGCCGAAATTTTCGAATTCTTCATTTGACGAAGGACTCTCTTTTCTGCCGTACATAAATGTGATATTTCTCCTCTAATATCGACACGATTTTTTTTTTAATTTTTGGTACTTTCAAGTAAACTTTGGTAATAAACGGCGAACATGTTAATAAGGACTAAAAGTGCGCGGGGAAAGTTCCGTACCGGGATCGCTATGAGAGTGTCGTTGTTCTTCGGCATTCCCCTTTCGTATTTTCTATTCGCTAGTGCTTTTGTACAGAACACCGATGTGCAAACTGCTGCCCCACCATCAGGTATTCGATTAATGAATTATCAGATATGTTTTAATTGTATTTTTTTAATAGACAATTGAATTTTTAACTTCATTTAGTTAAAGGCTATTGCTGATCAATTAGACTCCGACTTTCGACGGCTCCTGGTCGGTCGCTGCGGCAGCGCCACGCAGCATTACTTGCTGTTGCAAAAATGGGATTGCCCGTCCGGGGAAGTACCGCGATCTCACAGAAAACCAACGTGATGTGGAAGTGTCATTATTGCTCGCCTCGTGTGGTGTGAGTCAGGAAACCGGAGCCCACTTTGTTAAAATGCAATATGCTTACCTTATGGATGTTGCAAATGTTCATGTGTAGTAAAGTACGTAGTTTACCGTAATATTTTATTAAAAATACGCCAATTTCACGAGAAACAGTTAAAACAGGATATTAGAAAACTTTATCCACCGATACCATACGAAATTAAATAACACGACTTCTTGATCAGCGGCCGCGTTTGAAGGCTTTACGTCCCGTCGACTCCTGGCGCTGGTGACACCAGCTCCAAGGAACTGCACGAAGCCGGCAATACTAGAGTTCCCATCCGACGGACTCACGCGCGCGCAGAGGAAAAGCGTATGTATCACAAGTTCATACTGTCATTTTAGCGCTTAGTCGACGGAACTACACCGCATAAACAACAATTCACACCTAATTGGGCATACGATGCCCACTACGCTAATACGTTTGACTGATTTATTATTTCATTTTCAGTCTAGAAAACTCGAAAACATCCGGACCAAACATTTTCATTCTTATCACCTTTGGTTTCGATGGCAAATAAAGACAAAATAAAATATCAGAAAGGCATTCCGTAATGATTAATTCGAATCGAGACGCATTTTGAGTTTATTCTTCGTTGAAATCTTTTCTTAAAGGTTTTCCGTTTTCTAATGAATAAAATTTAGGATCATAATGATTCACTCGCTATCTACGAAATGCTTGTCAACAACTTTTTTCCAATTATTGATCATTCGGTTACAAATTACCATGGTTAATGACAGTATTTAAAAAATTGTCATTTATAAAGTAATGTAAAAGAATACTTCACGATATTCTACTATTAAGAAGAATTCTTAATAAAACTAATAAGACCGGTCTCTTCTCAACAGAGACTGCTTTCCAAGCCGGTGATTTACTAAGGAACTTTGTATCAATTTTTATGTAAAATTCGACATTTCATAAGATCGCGCTAGCGTCTATTTGAATAAAGATATTTTGAGTTTGACTTAGTCTACACTGGTCTGGAGTTAGTCGTACATGCAACGACGGATGCCGCTGTGTGGCTTTACCCCAATCTATACTGTTTTTCTTACACAAATTAAAAACTAGACTTATCCTATTCTATTTCCAACCTAACAAGAGTCTATAAACAGGGTTTCGTCTTGGTGCACTGCCTGTTAGCGGTATACTGCTTTCTTCTCCTGGGAAGCGTCTGCGAACAGTACTTCGTGCCAGCCATAGAGATTATTTGCGAACGTGAGTCCTTTATGCCGCCCATTGGGGGAACCAATAAAATAACTTGCATTTTCACTAAAATATTAAACATTCCTAGACCGTCAATAGGCAGACATTAAATAAATACATATTTAACGTCATTAATAAAATGTCCAATAACCCACTTTTCATTTATAAGCGATATTATGGGTATAATTTCGCTCGTCATAAAATAGGGGTCGATTTATGCGAATTCTACTTATGCGGTTACCACTCAGTCCCACTTATCGCGTTTTTTATGTGAAAAGGCGGAAACGAGTTGACGGTTCACCTTACGTTACGTGATAACCGCCGCCCATTGGCATTAGCAACACCCGTAGGGTTACAGATGCGTTACTACCTTTTACTTAAGTGGTCCCCGGCTACCTCACTCACCAGACGAAACGAAGTATGATAATTACACTTCACGCCAGTCTTTTGTGAGGTCGTGGTACCTACCCGGACGGACTTGCCCATTCGTGCAACAGCGAGGACTGTAGCGTGGTCCTACCACAGTAAGTTTAATATATTACTGTACTTTGTTTTTATTACATTTGTAGCTTGTCTTTATGTAATATTATCTAATACTGGGCGCTATCTAATATAATTATGAGTGATGTCGCTTTTGCTATTTAAAAATTAATTTAATGCCAGTTAATTAAATTGCACCATGAATTGTTATGGTTTCATCTTATCGCTACACTAATTAAAGAGGCTTTAGGTTTTGCTAAGACGCGTATGAACCTCCCAAATAACTGTTGAGCATTCGGGTACCCGATGCAGGGCTGGCTATGGCGTCGGACATAGCGGGCGCGACGTTCATGGCGGCGGCAAGCTCCAGTCCAGAGCTGTTCATCAACTGCGTGGGCACTTTTGTGACGGAGGGGGACCTTGGTGTCGGCGCAGTGGTTGGCTCAGCGGTGTTCAACGTCCTGGCGGTGCCCGCCTGCTGCGCCCTGGTTGCGGGAAAGGTAACGCCGGCTTCTGCATATCTTTTTTTTATGGGAAAAGTTGCCAAACGAGCAGACGGGTCAACTGATGGTAAGTGAATATCGCCGCCCATGGACATCTGCCACACCCGAGGGTTGCAGATGCGTTGACAACCTTTTGAAAATTGGGCTCCGGCCACCAGACTCACCAGACGAAACGCATATCTAATTCGGGCATTCTTAGTAACAGAACCGAATTAATTCGTATGGTTGAAGGACTTTCCTTTTGTTAGGAAGTAGAAAGCAAGCAGGCGGTTCGATTAATGTTTAGTGATTATCGGCGCTCACGGATGTCAAACGAAACCTAGTCTAGCTTTAGAAATATTGGCCTCGGATACCTCACTCCCCAGACAAAATACAATAGCTCAATACTACCGCCTTACTGTCCCTCTTGTGATCATGTTCCGTGGTGATTTATCTTCGGATGAGCCTCTCCAATCGTGATGTTGCAAAAACTACAGCGTAGCTCCGCAACAACTAAAGATGCGGCTTGCTTTGATAAAACAATTTATAATTAGTTGAGCTATTGGAGATTAATTTATATTTGCAGCCATTTCTTATTTATAACTCATCTCATATGGCGTATTATCGTTATACACCCTACTTTAAACTTTAGAAGTAAGGTGTAAGAAATCACGTCTTTCAATTCCAAAGGACTTCCAAGAGAATAAAAGCGCTGGCTCATTATGAGATTATTTATAACAGAGGTTATATATATTAACAACTTGTCTCACAATCATGGCTATAGTAAGCACTGCGTGTTTGATGATGGGCAGGCCGTAGAGCTGGACTGGTGGTCTGTCTCCCGCGATTGCCTGATGTACGCCGTCGCGGTGGTGGCACTGATCCTCACCCTCATGGACAACGTGGTGCAATGGCACGAGGCCCTACTCCTCGTACTTATGTACACACTCTACATACTGGGTGGGTAGAAGTCATTTTCATTGAAGTACGAAGCATCTGTGAAGATGAGCCTATTTCCGCAGTTGCATAGCTGTTGACGAACTAGTTTCAATTATTTTTATTCTAATCTTGTAACAAGGTAATTGAAAATAAAAAGTCTCTTAGATCTTCTTGTCTGATTTTTATTTTATTCGTGAGAAAATTTTCATTTCTAAACATTACAATTTTTTTTATTAAAATTCCTTTTTTAATTTCCCTTATATCGTGTGAAATTCCACAAGCACTGAGATCACTGACATACGAAGCCTTAAAAGATATAAATGTTTATTCAATTGCCAGCGATGGTGTTCAACGGGCGGCTAGGCAGCTTCTTCAGGAGTGGATGTTGCGGCCCCAGCAAGAGCAATATGTACACCGAGATCACTCCATTACTAGTCAAAGGTTGATCATCTTAGCTCGTCGACTATTAACCATAAAGCTAATGGATAATTTTTTAAATTGTAAATTTTTGTAGATTTTTATATTATTAGTAGACAAAAAATTTCGGCACGGCGAGATTCAAACCTGGGTCTTCTGGTTTCACGCCCAGACGCTTTACCAACTAAGCTAAGCGGCCGATGACTCACGGCGCGAAAATCTTGACATCTATCATTCTTTGTATTGCATTTTTAGTCATTTAGTGTGCATCCTTTAGAGCATAAAAAACTTTACACAATAGATGACTGTAAACCCGTAAAAAAGTTATACCTTATTTCTTGTAGGACCAGTCGTAAGTGGCAACTGCACGATTACAATAAAAGTTTATTGCCTATTAATTGACCACACTAATGTCAATACTTTCGCTCCATAAAATATTTTATTTTTTAAACTTCAGAAAAGCGCAGACCATTGGAAGCTCCCGCCTCGAAAGTGAGCCAAGCCGACCATCGGATCAACGACCTAGAACAGGGATCTCAGATAGAGTCTTCAAGCGATTCCGGTACGTGGCTTTATTTGTTAGCTTTTGCCTGACCATTCTACTTGATTGTGAGCGAACACGAATCATAAAGCTGACTAAACTTTATGATTTGACGAAAACACGGCTGAAAGCCGTAGACATAATACTATAAGATTCGATTGCGAAGAACCTCAAGCGTCTCACCGTCCGTTGGAAGAGAAAGAGAAGCGAAAGAGAAGAAATAGTTTGACAAAATTATCGAATGCCATGAATACATAGTCCAACCCTGGTATGTTCATTGGTATTGCTTTCTGACTTGCTCTCTTTTCTAGGGATAAGTCGGAGCATGGGGCTTCTATGGTGGGGGGTGAGGGCGCCCCTATGGGCGACTATTCCCGACTGTCGCACTCGAACAACCCTTTGGCCCTTAACATTTGGCATGTGCGTCGTCTGGATAGGCGCGGTCTCCTACCTCGTCGCCTGGATCATAACAATACTAGGTGAAGACAGACTTGTACCACACTCGATATATTTTTGAATTCATAAATGTATGCAAATAGTAGTTACTTTACGATTCTCTATATCAAGTCAGAAATTCAAAGTATCAAAGTAATTTTTTCAAAACACTAAAACTGCTTCACTTAGCTAGACCTTCTGATAGACCTGGAATTATGATACAGGTCCAACCGACGAGGCATTATCCGCGTATAAAAAAATCTCCTGCAAGTAGCAAAAAAACCTGCCCGTTCATTAATATAGTGTTAGTGAAAGACAAACTAATCATTATTATATAATTTTGCATTTATCTTATTTATAGAGATATAACATAAGCAAAGAGCAATGTGCGTCCTGTATATCGTTATTAACTTCGATGTTAAAACCATCTCTCTCCAGGTGACACCCTGGACGTACCCGACAGCATAACAGGTCTCACCATACTTGCGGCAGGTACCAGTCTTCCTGAGGCTGTCTCTAGCGTGCTGGTCACCAACAGAGGTAATAACAAAAGAGTTAGAGGGGACCCACAGAGTCTGGTCTCAATCGCTCAGATTAGTTACAAAAAAGATTGGAAAAGAAAAAAAAAATACATTTGAAAAAAAAATCTCATTTTCCTCTTTCATTCTTCACGTTTTATTTGCACTGCATGGTAACATGATTTTGCATGTCCTAAATAAAGTTAATAAATAAATATCGCTTATGGGCCTATACCCCAATTTACCATAACAAATGACCCACTGTCCTGATCGCACATCATTAAATAGTGTTCGTTTTATTACCACGTATTGATATACCAGGCCAAGGCACAATGGGCATCAGCAACTCCATCGGCTCCAACACCTTCGACATCCTGCTGTGCCTCGGTCTGCCGTGGTTGGTCAAGGGCCTGCTCTGCCCCTCGGTGCCAGGGAACCACTGGGTAAGGTCTACCTTAATTACGCCATGCCCATTCTCTTCAACCATCTCTAACAACGCGTATTATCATCAGTTTTTGATAGAAATACGGGAATATTTTATCAACTCCACTTTGGAAAACCTTTGACTTATTTGCAAGCCTACTGTTACGGACTACCACTGTACAACTACAATAATAATGGCAATAGGTATCCTACCATCCGCCCTATTACCTTCACCCCCGATTACCTTCATGAAGCAGCCACAAAATTATATAAACACCACCTCATGAAAATGAACTTTGGATTTTTTTTATTAATTTTTTTTATGTCGACAGATAAGCATTAACTCGAGTGGACTGTCGTACAGCGCCATCTGCCTGCTGTCTACCCTGTTCGTGTTGTACGGCGCTTTATTCCTGAATGGATTCCGTTTGGACTGGAGGGTGGGGGTGACATGCGCACTTGTGTACGCTGCCTTCTTGGCAATGGCCACCCTTATCGAGCTCAACTTTATCTTCCCCGTTAACCTACCTATTTGCCCGCACTAGTCTCACAGTAATGACAATATATATGATATAATATACGAATAATACGAGTAATATGTATGAGATTGTATTTATATAAACAAACACTAAACCGAAAACTTGGAACTATAATCTTTAAATAAATCATGATTCCAAGTTTTCGGCTCTGTTTCGGTTTTCATAATTTTTTCACGGGAACGCAGATGGTTTACATGCGTGAATTAATTACAGTTTTAAGACCTGATTTGTTTTTTATAAACTAGCACCAACTATTAAAATATTATACTCATGATGATTTTTATCGAATTTCATGTCCAATTTTGAAATAAATATAAAGGTATTAGAAGATTTTGATAATAGAAGCCATTTATCGGCTTAACGATATTTTTTGCTGAAGTATTGTCTTGCGTATATGTAGGACTTTAGAGTTATTTAGGTTTTGTTGTGCATAATTATAACATGGAATATATTTGTACGTAGTACGTTAAGCTGTTATAAATAGTTTCAAATTTCAAGTTCAAGTGACGATCTTTAAACGAAGAAGAAATCAAAAGAATAATAGGAATATATTCGATTGGCCTGCGTGGAGAATCATTCAAAAAGCAAACCTTACACGATCTTATTCCAAGCCCTTAAATCCAGACGGAATGATAGAGAGAGGTGATGTTTGTTTTTATTTAACATCTAATTGTTTTTATTAGTTTCCTTTACTTATAACTAGATATGTTTATTAAATACAAATAACTATTATCTATAAGCGGTGGTGATATTGCTATAACTTTCATTGTTGGCCAATAAACTAATACGAAAATATAAATTTGTTTCTACTCCGTCCTAAATAACTGGGATACATTTACGTACGTAAGGCTCCAAAACTGATAGTCTTCACTCCACATTATTCCCCATTATCAGGTGATTCGGTGGTATCTCTCTTCATTACAAAACTCATTCAAATACCGGTTGTGATGAACAACATATCTAATGAACCATCAGATCTTCGACCATAGACCTCGATCGAAAGAGCAAAATCTGCAATAGCATTTTTCTTGTCTGGATTTTATGTGCCTCAGGCATCATCGACAATTACACTACGTGACCAAATTATAAAAAAAATTAAAGTAACAGCCTATACATGTCCCACTGCTGGGCAAAGGCCTCCTCTGTACAGAGGGTATCAGGGCATAGTCCACCACGCGGCCCCACTGCGGATTGGCGGACTTCACATATCTCCGAAATAATTTTGTTACTATTTCGAAAATATGCAAGTTTCCTCAAGATGTTTTCCTTCACAGCTGAGCACACGATAAGTCAGCACTTGAAATTAACAATTTCATTGATGCCGGCACCGCGGATAGAACTCAGGTTGCTCCAGTATATTAAATTAAAGTCGAGCGCCCGGACATTGTGCGATAAATTATAAGGGCAATCTAAATTGTGACAGACTACAATGATAATGAGTTTTATAGATAAATATGACAGACAGAACGAAACAACAAAGCAATTTATAGTTCAATCTACAGTCGATCTTCAAATCCGGTAAAAAAAAACGCTTTCGCCCACAAACCAGGGCGGAGTGCGGGGTGAGACGCCGGGGCGAGGAGAGCAACACGATGAGCAATTAGACCCATTGTGGCGGCGGGTGTTAACTTTTTATCGGATAATAAGTGACGAGTGTTGATGTGGGGATAATCTGAACGTTCTAGAGCTATCTCACGCCTCATCAGTGAAATACTTTTTTATGAAATATAACGTTTAATACTTTCACTCCGTGTAGATTAAAAGAAGCGCCTATGTAGTCTCTAATATCATGTAAGGCGCCTATGGCTGCTGAATTAAGCCTCACTACATTTTAAGTAAAAAAATCATAACCCCGTTTCCATCACAATTATAAAGAAAAAGCAATGGTAGCTGTTAAATTTTTGTATTGTGTTTAGAAATAAGTATTCATTACTTATCTATTCTCCTAACATTCACGGTTCTCTGACATCATTAATCTAGACTTACAATATAAATATTTAAACGCAACCGAGCATCACGTGAGAGAATCCAATTGATCAGTGCTGACGCCTCCTGCGAGAACCATTCCGTCATACCACGTGAGACGTTCAACTTTTCCATTCAAACGCGTCGAGGCTCATCGCATTGAACATTGCGCTGCAAACAAATTTCTCTTTTACAGATTTCAGCACAGGGAGCGATACAAGGGCCACTGTTGACTAAAACGAGACAGGGTCACCTATCGGCAGACACTACCGAGATACGAACCCTTTGAGTATTCTCTGCAGCAGGCTCGGCTGGTTCTTAGTGTAGACGGCAGACGGCATGCAGATGCGCACCGGCGGAGCAGCGCTAGGGTGCACCACGAACGGGTAAGGCTGCCTAACCAACGGAGTGACAGAAGCGCCCACCAGGCTCACAGCAGGCCTCGTAAATTTGAGTGGCTGGCTTTTAATCACAGTATGCTGACTCGGCTCGCCCACCAGTATTACCGGGATAGAAGAGCCCGGCTTCTTTGACCGCACGCTGGCGGTCGTGGTCGACCACGGAGCTGTGGTGGTGGTCTCTATCGCCTCCAGGTATATAGAGTCGTCGTAGTCCTTGCTCCTGTCCACCAGGGGCGCTACGTACAGTGCCTGCTTGAGGCCGTTTATGTCCTGGACGAGCTTAGCGTGTTCCTTGACGACGTCTTCTACCTTCGACGGGTAGACGTCGAAGCGCCGCGACAGAAAATTGCTCCGAACATGCGCCGGCGGCGAATAGATGCCCGTGCCGGGGATGCCAGAGGGTCTGTTTTGGTGAATCCAACCTGCGTCGATTAAAGCGAATAGTTTGAGACCTCAGAGAGTTTATATCATCGATTGTCATCAGTTGACGAAACTAACCTCCAGGCGAAGCCCTCGTGTAGCGACTCGGTCTCCATTCCGGGTAATCGAAGCACTCCACCTGTAATCGAACGTCATACGTGTTTTATACACCATCAATGGGCCTACGGGAGTACATTTATATCTAAAGGGTAAACGCTACACACCGCCGCACCTGTTAAATGCTGCAGTTTTTTGTTTACGTGATAATAAAGAAAGCTAAAGATTGCTTACACTGTGCGTGGGGACAATTAGCTTGACAGTTATCGTTGGCACGCATTCGAATCAGCTCGTATGTGCCGGAAAACTCCACCGAGCGAAAGGCCCGTCGCTTCGACCGCACATTCGTTCGTTCCAACTTCTTTCGTTTAGTTCGATCGTATCGTTTCGGAAACACGCACTTTGTGGATTACACGTAAAATCGAAACAAACTTTTAAATTTGCGAGTTATTAATTAAACAAAAAAATATCACAAGTTTTTTTTGCCTATAAATCATAAAAAATGACTTTTTTTATTTTGAACGTGACAGTCGAACTGGCGGTGCACCTGATGTTAAGTGATAACCGCTGCCCTTGTACATTTTCACCTTTGAAAAAGTTGCTAAACAACGAAATATACACAAAGAAAACACATAATGGAACACCACCACGAAGCCGGTCAACCATTCGTTTGAATACCGGTGGTGGCACAAATGCAATCGTCGCGGGGAAGTACCTACCTATCGCATCCTGACGGAAACCGCTTATCTACGGAGCAATAAAACAAAATCAAAGACATGTGAAGTACGTTTATCCATTATGAACCCGCGTAGCTTTTGGCCAATAGTTGAATACAGGCGACGCATTTACGTACGTATGTATTAACCCGACATTTTCCAATGAAATTTATCATACATGAACAGTGCGCTCGCTGAATCAAATTAGATGCCGATTGATTAATTAATTGACATTTGTAAATAAGTAAAAGGAATTTTCAATTGCTGTCTGGAGCGACTTGCCGCCGCAATTTGCAATAAACAAATCGTGTAAGATTTTCACCTACTGTTCAAATAAAGGCGTCCCGGCACGCGATCACATTTAGTTACGAATCGTTACTCGTTCATGCAAATGCTTTACAAAAGTATTAACGATCGTTCAAAACACGAGCCCGCTAATAATTCATGAGCGTATGAAGACATTGTGCATAATCGTTTCAATCAATAATCTTTATCAAGGGGAGCGAACTACAGTTATTCAAGAGAATAATGTTGCCAGCATTGAATGTAAATGATAGTGAAAATATTGCTCGCGAGATTAAATGAATTGTGGAAAATAGAGTTGAAATAATTCACTTACTTTTTCGACATAACTTTGAACGTGCTTAATATTATTTAAACGTTACGATTCATGTCGATTTTTAAGTTTCAATAATATTAAATAATAAATAAAATATTCTAACAAAAATCACAAGAGAAAACAATTCGCTCGTCAATTTAATTTCGCCAAGTTTACGGGGAAAGCGTAAATTACCTGTGACACCGGCGTGTAGAGTCGCTTCTGGCTGTAGTACCTGACGTCGAGGGTGGCCGAGGCTAGGAGCAGCGTGGCCTGCCACAACACAGCCCTCCACCACATCGTCGCACCGCAGACTGAAGCGGCTGAGGCGCGCCAATCGCTGCCACCTTCCTTCCTCTGCAATGTCCACGGGCGCGCCACTAATAATATCTACGCACTCCTTATTGCAAACTCTTACGTCTGCGACCCTAACCGAGTAGACGACATAGCGTGCGATCGTAATCACGTTGTCAAGAATAAATGTTAAGCTATAAACCTTTATAGGGAGTGAGACAGTGGAAGGAAATAATGAGCGAAGCTAGCGAATGAAACACGAATCACCATGCTAACGGCGCTCAATGCAACTCCGTCTATTTATACTAAGAAACAATTTGTTCTACTACCTTTTTAACTCCCACCTACCATTTTTCTTGTAAAATAGATGTCTATTTACAATTTTAATAATTACTAGTTGCTGTCCGCGACTACGTCTGCGTAGAATAGGCTGAAGGCGTAACATAGGATGTATAAGCTGTATTATTGTAAAGTTTCATTAAAATCCATTCGGTAGTATTTGCGTGAAAGAGTAACAAACATACATCCATACATACAAACTTTCGCCTTTATAATATTAGTAAGGATTTGAACTATCATGTAGGTACTTACTTGAACTTAATGGTTTATAAAAGTATGTTGTATCGAATAATAAAGACCAAAATCAAATCACACGTTTACGTGTTCCATATATTGCAGTATATTTAATCAGCCTTAAGAGTATAACACAAGTTCAACTACTATCTTTGCCTTAATAAGTAGGCCAATCTATATTCAATAAATCCATTTTGCAAACTCGTCAAATCAAAACGCTAAAAGAAAAAAGTCAATGTATAAAGTCTATTGACGCGTTATCCCAGTGCACCTGCGTACCGCACGAAAGTGAAGTGATTGACTCTCACTTCGTGTTCTCTAGACTGTGGCACGCATGTAAACGCACACGGCTGCTCACTCAATTACGAAGCAAATTTAATTGGTGTTCATGATGCTCGAGCTAAAAGTTCACCGCTCAATCACATTACAACATATTTCCTAAAGAAAAAGACATTTAATTGGAAAGAGCGCGCGTGTCATAATTATACTTATTTTTATCCTTTAAACGAGCAATTCTTGTATATTTAAAATCGGAATCTCGGAAACGGCTCCAGCGATTTTCATGAAATTTAGTATGTGTTTAGATTCGGGGGCGAAAAATTGATCTAGCTAGGTTTCATTTTTAGAAAATGTCCTTTTATCCCTTTTTTCAGGGAATGAAAAATATTATTCGAATATGACGGTAAATTTCGCCGCAAAAAAAATGTTTTAATAACTCGGTCGGTAATCGGGCGGCCCCAAAACAAACGGTCGCCCCTTATCACGATCATTTACACACTTATTTTTTTTCCTTTTTTTTCTATACCAGATCATTTTCTTTATTTATTTATTTTTTTATTTCCAAAATACATGATTTACCACAAAAAAAACCGAGCAAAGCTCGGTCCTCCAGGTACTTAATATATTAATTGGTTATTATGGACCACAAAATTAAGCGTGAGGATTGGCAAGCAGATCGAAAAGTACAGAAGGTTAGTTATGAACAGAGATTTTCTGTTTTATTTGAGACTATTGACATCCACAACACCGATGGGCTTCCCGCATACTGTACTGTCAAAATACTAGGAGTAAGGACAAACTAACTGCTCCATTGCTTCTTCTACAAAAAGTAGGTAAACAGATCGTTCATGGAGCAATGCGCATGTATAATAAAATTACACAGTCGATATCAAGTAGAAATTAGCAGCTTGATCAATTTTAATGCTAAATTAAAATGAAACATAGCTAAATCATATTATACCGTGCGGAATATCTCAAGGACGCCAATTTTTAGAGTTAATACTCTTGTTACTCGTCCGGGGAAGAACCACGGCCTCACAGAAACCCGGTAGGAAGTAAACCCTTAGAAGATCTCTGCTTTGATCTCCATTGAGGGCTCCAGAGTACTTTCATGTGCGAGCCTGCCCATTTGGGCAAACACGTACTTTTCTGCTAGCAGGAAACAGGTTTGGCTTTATAAATATTCTCTGCTTTTTAATAGAAGTATAGAGGTGTATAATTCGAATTAACTGCTATTTATATCAGAAATAACTGTAGTCTCCCGTGCACTACTTTTTCTTAACCTTATCGAGTACGGCCAGTCTTATTTTCTTTCGTATACCTTAAAAGTCGAACATGGCGAAACTGGCTTAGCCGCAAAAACGCTTGCAACCATTTCTAAAAAAATTAAGCCATTAGAGGGCGGTTAGAAAAATCGCATCACTACATAGTTTAAAACGAAGTCGTCCTGCTGTCTGTCTGTCCTTATATATGCTTAGATGTTTAAAACTACGCAACGGATTTTGATGCGGTTTTCTTTAATAGATAGAGTGATTCAGAAGGAAGGTTTATATGTATAATTAATGCACAATATATTAGAGAAACACTGCTAATTTTAGAGGTTTCTAATGCGATGTCGAAAACAAACATTCAGCATTGCGCCCGTACGAAGCCGGGGCGGGTCACTAATATAAACATAAATTCGTTTCTTGACACGAATTAATTACCCTTGTAAAATCCTTCGCGTTTGTAAACGTTTTTTGAAACTAATTTATATTTGAAAAACCCGCAGGTAACGATATTAAAAACTATAGTCTGATAGCTATTTTGTCAAGTTTATCCAAATTGTTTAACAAACAACGACAGTGTTTCAGAAACCGGGCGGTAGAGTACTCATACATGCGTTATTTTTAATAAATTTTATAGTTGTATATGACACAGCGAATTGAAAATATGCAATGTAAATTCACAAGGTATTTGGCATTAACCTCAAAAGGAATTACCCATCACTTTTTTAAGATGCTTACGCTCAGCAGTCTTCGTAAAATATCCAAACAGTCCACATTGGCATAAAAAGGACAGATCGAAGATACATGTATAGCATGATATGAGATCCTCTGAACTTTGTTAAAATTTTGACACCGCGCCTTAACCGCCATCCTGCCTTCGTAAACTAAAGACGATACGTCCCAATTGAGACCTTTTCGCTCAGGCCGTGTACGTTAACCAATATGAGTATTTAAAAGACTTCGTAACAAAGCTGACCTGTTCCTCCTTAGGACAGTTTAAAACTACGCCAATCGTTGATCACCTATTATTGACCAACTATTGCTTGGGGATGTGCAACTAACAGCATTAGAGGGGGCTCAAAGATTAAATTTTTGTGTATCCCACGGTTCAACTGTACTCTGTTACTTTCATTGCGTAAATTATTCATATTTCACTGCATTCATAGGTGCTTTTAATTCGATCCAAGACTACAAAATAAAAAAGTGTGTGTCTTTGGCGTAAGAAGATAAAAATCTTTTCAAACAATTTATCTTTCGCCTTTTTCTATCTACGTTTTATAATCTACGTTTGTAGAAAAAACGACACTGACAATAGAAAAAAGTTATTTAATATTAATAGATACATTGAAAGCTTTATTATAACGCATTTTCTAGTTAAATGAAGTTTATTTAAATACCACAAAATAAATATCGTGAATAAAGTTCAGTTCTCTCGCAAACATACATAGAGGTATAGCGAACTTCAGGGTGTCGGTTTTTCGTGACGATGTGCGCGCGCATTGTTAAAATTTACTAAAGTAGTATAACTTCAAAAATATTTAATATTTCGACATATTTTTATTATTTTATATTATAACAAATTTGTCCTAATGCAAAATGTAACCTTTTTTTTTCATCACTTTTATTCCTTTTTGATACCATACCTATACAAAGACTCATAAAAAATATGACGTACATGGAGTATGTCGATTGTTTTTAATTTTTAAACCAATTTGCCAGAAATAAAAACACAAAAATATTTACTACTTACAATTGAATTATCAGCAGACAATAATTATTAGGGTCAGCAAAATGACTTTTCTTATCTTATATTATCTTCAACACGCACACTATGCAAAATACTATCAATACACATATATTTATAAATACACACACTTAAAATTCGATTGTCATTATATTTATTAATACTTACCTAAATTTCAATGAAACTAGATCAGCTAATCGAGAGTATGACCTCTGCGAGATAGGCGATCTGCTAACCTAGTGTACACTGAGCAAATGCATATAAAATTTGCAAATGTACTTAAATGTGATGTCCAATATAGTAGAATGCTGTTTTTGTACTCTTACACATTATTTCAATAAATCTTTATTATTATTAAACTTATCTAATTATTATTTTTAATTAAATATATAATTTATTTAGTTTCTAAACTTATCTAAAGTATTTCTTTTCATTTTCATTCTTAGGTGTCAGTGTTGAATTTTTATGTACTTGTTTATATATTTTTTAAATGTGATGTATAATATTTACGAAATATATATAATATTTTAGAAAATGAAAAGGAAATTATTTAAATGAAACATCAATGGTGATAAGGTATCTTTATTATAGAGACTTACAAGGATAAGTAATATTTACACAGTAATGAGTAACTCATTAAAAAGGTATTTCGAAGATTTCGGTTTCGGCAGATAAAACGCGTCGCAGTCCCGCCCAACTTTTGCTACAGACATACATAAATGTGCTATACCGGAACGGCATGCCAATGAGAACAACCTAAATTTAAATAATAAACATACTTTAATCGCTACAATACCACAGTGAGAATTGGGAATGCCTGGTTAAATCAAACACGTTGTCTCCCACCTACGAAAATTTCCGCCGAGATCAACTAAAGTCCGAATCACGCGTCAAAAAGTCACTTTGTTCTAAATAAAAGCGTTCGACACTATCATTCACGCGAGGCAAAGGCGGAGGCGGGGGATATACTCCCCAATCAACCGTAGGTTCCTATGTACTCATGTGCCTAGAAAGCAGCCTTTTGGCCAAAACAATGAGGGCTCTGAAAGCACTTCGCGTCGAAGGCAACAAAATATCCTTCACATGCACAAACTAAAAGATTCCAACCGGCAGAAGCGACGTCGCGTTATCCATGCCGCGTACCAATAGAGAAGGGACCATAACAGGAAGTTTTTGGCTTGCTTTAATAAATAAACAGGCTAGCTTAATAAGTCACATAGAAAACAGTCGAAGGAATAAAGGAAGAATGTATCAACTTATTCATAATACGAAAAAGACAACGAAAAACTGGAGAATCTGAAGAAGTTAAATAACACAAAATAAAATTATATTTTTACAGTAGTGTATAGGCAAGGTCGATGCTTACTTAGTATAATTACGGTATATGTATTATGGAATTCTAAAGAACATTATAGAACAAATAATATATCGATTGTCGATATATAATTACTACACATATAATTTAAAACTAACGGCTGCTGTTTCTCAAACAATAAGATAAAACTTGAAATAATCACATTTCCTTCTAAGCGACGTTTCACAGATTTGAAACGCGGCCATTAATAAATTGAGAAACAGAACCAAAAAGAAACGGATGCCTCTGACTTCGGGCTCCAAATATCTCATACTATATCATATAAATATCCAGATAAAATTAAAAAAAAAAAACAAACAAAACATTAGCCGCGTGCTGCCATCGAGGTGACGTCATAGTCGTAAGCGCACGCACGCGTCACCAAAGCTTTGGGCAAATTTGGTTCCCAATGAGCGGCCGCTCCGATGATGTCTCCTCTCTCCGCGCTCCTATGGCAGTCGGGCTTGCTCCGTGGGCGTGGGCCGGTGACGTCACTCCCACGCCCAGTTTACAAGTGGACGCAGCTTTCGCGACCGGAGATTTGTTGCTAACAATTTTTAGGTAGGAATATGCGTTCGGTTATATCCGGTAAAAAACATAAAAAGTATTGTTTAAAATGTTCGCTGGATGAATGGGTCCGTCAGACTCGGTAGGAACACTTATATTTTATTAATACCAATATTACTATTTCTTTTTAGAAACTTCGTAATCAAATTACAAATGTGAAGGCACTATTAAATGTGAAGGAAAATTATAATTTGATATTTACAATACGGTAAATATCAAATTATAATTTTATTTTTCCTCAATTTTTTCGATTCAAAAAAATGCACCCACAGCAGTGTGACATTTTGTTATAACTTTCTATATATGCAAAGGTATTCAAATTTTCGAATGGGATTTTACCAAATAATGATTTAAGTATCTGCTCTTCAAATTCGTCTGGCCCTTTGCTTTACAAAGGCGACCGTATACAGTTACTTTTCTGCATGTTAAATATTATACCAAAACTTTATTATTTTAAATTGACCACTGTGCTCCGCGACGTCAGCTACGTCCACGCGTAAATCGAGAGCTCGCAATATTGGTTTTAGAAGCATAGAACAGAAGCCCGACCATTCATTAGTGATTAGAAACGGAAAATATCGTCAAAACCACAAATTTTCATGTAAGAAAAGACAATTCTACAACCTTAAGCATCGTCGACATCTCGTGCATCAGAGGTATAAAGGACAACTATATAATATATCGTATATAATGTTCGCTTCATTAAAAAGCGAGCCGAATAAAGTATAATATATAAGCGATCGCGTCGCTGACTTAGCAAACACTACTATAATGTATGTATGCATTATGCACAATAGAACCCTAGGAACACTACGTGTATATATTGATATTACATATAATATTACGCATAGAGATACATCAAATACATGAAATAACAGTGTAACGCCTTGGAACGGTCGGGGCGCAGGGGCCCTGGGCTGCTGCGGCGCGGCCAAAGGTGCCAAAGGCGCCAAACGGCCGCGCTCCAGTGAATTGGCACGCAGAGCTGCGTTGGCGGATTGGACCCCTTAGGTAGCCAACACATCTGCATCCATTCTAACACATCGATCACCGACGCCTATACCCAGTTACTGGGACGGCACAAATTTGCATTCGCCAGCGGCAAGAGCGGGCGACGGAGGCCTTTGTAAAAGTCATCCACACAGTTCAGTCTCCAATCTCACGGTAACCTATCAGATACACGTAATAAACACCCAATAAGCGATTTAATAATATAGATGTAAAGCTGACGCTGAGCTCCGTAAGCCGCGGACGACCCGGCAGTCTTAGGGGACGTCAATAAATAGTAGCACAAATGCAACTGTGCTCGCGAATACCTACACATTTATGACATCTGCTACGAAGATCGCCTTATCGCTAGGTTTGAATCCAAAGCACATTGATATATATATTATATAACATTTATAAGAGAAAATTACACACACACTATCGCTTTCGAAGCAAATGAAGAACACAGATTTTGAAGCAAAAGATGGCCGACGTGTCGTTTGACGTCTTGCCTCTTCCCCTGATTCCGAATTACATAATTAAAACTCAATTAGTAGATTAGGTTTACAGACGAAACGCACTATCGTATTTGAGAAAAAAAATGGCAGTACACAATATCTTATACACTAGGTACGGTAACGGTGGCAGTGCGGGAACACAACAGCTGGGATGGCTCGACGATGTGGGCCAAATCGAACCAAATCGAACCAAATCGAGCCGGTGTTCTGACACCGCCCGCGACTAATATTAATATGTACGATAGCAGAGGCCGCTGCGCTACGGATACATATCCGTAGCGCAGCGGCACTTAGCCTCGGTGGCCACGTGCGGCGCTCTCTTGGAGCGAACGCACACGCGCGGTTTCACATCGGAACACCGACGCGCAACCTTGTCTTACCTCACTACTGATAGAGGGAGAGGGAGCATGACACATATCAGCCGACAGCCACACCTCTCCCGTTAGAGTTTACAGAGTAAATTTTAAGTATACTACGCTAGTGCGAATGAGCCCTTACCTAACAGTAAATCCGAGTAATGATTATCATATAAATATGTGCCGTGCATTAAAATACTCATTAATATGATGCATGCACTAGACACATTATAACACAAACAGCACTTCCTACTGGACCACAGCAAGTGGACCCAATCCCAAAGTCCTGAGGGACGACGACGAATAGAACAATTACATCAAGGGAATATTTGCGCGTCGTCCCTTACTTATACACGTACACTTAAACGAATCGAGTGATAGTAATATAGACATCAATGATCAAAATACGGTCCATTGTTCTCCAAAACAATTCACTGCAACGATAGCCGACCCATCGCTTCGACTAGCGTCTCCATCAGATAATCGGGCCCGATTGGGGAGTAGCGGAACGACGAGTCTACCCGGCGGGTGGTCTCGCCGGCCCCGCTGATCCTGCAACAACAGCGCCCCTTATGTCATTCGGCACCAACAATGCAACACTCGCAGAGCACACACAAAACACGTTGAACTAAAATCAAAACAAACAAACGCATTGCGGATCCGTTAGTTCAGCAAATAACCTCGGCCATTTATAGAGAAATTTTGAAAAAATATCTCGACATGTCAAATTTAAGGCTGTGCTAATAAACTTTTAATTTCATTCTAAGCACGGGTGTCTGATAAAGTTAATTTGCATATATATCGGTTTGCTAGCAAATTACAAATATTATCGTTAATAAAAAAAAGGAATAATCTTTAATAAAAAAACAATGTGGCATAACAGCGTTAAATCACACGTCACCTCTAAAATTGTCGTAAATATGTTGGGACGAAAATCAGCAGCGGCAACACGCTAAGCAGCAATTAATACATTTTATGAAGCATTTATTATTCACCGTTGTTCTACTTCTGAAGACCTGGCCTTGTGCCATCGATACGGAAGAATTTTTAATAACTATCTGATCGATAACACAATGTTACAGTATATAAATATCAAATGTGCTGCGTAATAAGTAGCGCTTGGCGGCGAAGAAAATCTGTCGATAATGCAAGAAATTATTGTGTGAAGTTAATATTTGTTCAATAATTTATTAAGAAGCAGAGCGGCAAAGCTCCGCTATACTGTTAAACGTAAAGTTTAATAAACGCCCAGCGATTGGTTAAATATTCCTCACACAGTGTACCACTCTCTGTATAGATAAGGAATCATTAACAATATGTATTGAAAAATTGCGCCGCATCAACATTCAATGAATGCTTTGCATCAATCAATAATATCTAATTCAAAGATTCAAATCTTATTAATATGAGTTCAATTATAACATACGCCGGTCATATTTCGCACTTTAAGCGTAATTTCTAATACACCAGACATTGCTGACACATTTTAACATTTTTACTATTTGCGCCAAGGCTGTCACATGAACAGAAGAAAAACCAAGTCGGATAGACATACATCGGTGTCTTTAGAGCGCAGAGAAATCGTCTTCTTCCAAAATGCTCACCGCAGTTGTGTAACGAGCGACGATAACGGCCGAGAGTTTACAATTGAGCAATAAACAAAGATAAGTCAGCTCGTTGAAACAGAACAACAGGCGTAACAATGGCAAGGTCAACTGGAGCAGCTTTGCAGATCATTCGCATGTGGACTGAAATGATACGCTTTTAAAAACATAGCTCGTTTCATAACAACGGACCGTAATGATGTATGTGTTTACAAAAATAAACTGTTTGCATAAACAGTGGGGTAACACAAAACGCTACAATATATAGGACAATTCATGCACCCTTAACGTCGCGACGGAGAAAGCTGGCCTGTTTTTGTTGTGCTCCGAGTGAATTCACAAGAGTTGCAGTCTGTACTATCTGTTACGATAGTAGGTGTGTATTTAGTTTGAAAATGGGTTAAAATGAAAAAATGCTACGATCCCCGGGGGCCCTCATTACCTTATTTGTTATATGTCATGGCCGGCTTGATCGGCTGGGGTATTATGGTGATCTCGTCGTTGATCTTGAGCGGCGTGAGGAGCGCGCCGCCGCCCGCCTTGGCCGCCGCCCCCGCCCCCGCCGCCGCCATCTTGCTCTTCTCCATCACGCGTTTCGCAACCACACTGTGCGCAGAGTACACGTGGTTCTCGAACTGCTTGTACATCCCGAAGGTCGCTGTGCACACGGTGCACTTGTACGACAGATGGGCCGGCTTCAGAGTGAGATTGTGGTCGCGGGCTACGTGGTTCAGGAGTTTCCATTGGTACACCTGGAGCAAACGTTGAACGGGCATGCAATGCAAAATCACTAGACAACAATTGAACATAGAGCGTTATTTAAGAAAACAATAGAGCATCCCTCACCCGTCCACATACGGGGCACCTGCCCTCGTCCTTCCCCTTGTTCGCTGCTTCCTGCATGGAACTCGTGACCAGCCCGTGCGACCCTAGGAGATGCCTTTCCAGACCTTGGTCAGTGAAGAATCTACAAAACGATGGCGATTAAACATACGTGAAATAAACAATTTCCATTTCCATCAGTGACAATGACAATACATGCTTCCACGAACATGTACCAGAATATCTCAAAATTTGAAATGAACGCCGCATTAAATCCAAAATAAATTATAAATACCGACCTGCATTGGCACTTCTGACAATTCAATGGAGGCCTGTTGTAAATCATCTTGGGGTGTATCTTGACTTTGTGTATCCATTGCATGTGATTCCGCAACTGCTCCAGATCCTTGATGTAGCCGTCGCAGATCTCGCAGATGACGAACGTGCTCTTGCCCTGATGGGCCGGCTGCGGCTGAGTGGGAAGCGGCTGCCTCGGCAGGGGCGTGATCGAGATCGATGGCTGATGCATCGATTTCCCAAAAACCAGGCTCTTCCCGTTGCTCTGAAATGGCGCGCATGGTCAGCTTTTGCCTACACTCCACAGAAACTTAGCCTTTGACTCATTTGCAGCCACTGCGCACTATTCAAGTAGGGCAAATAAACATGCGATAACATACGACTGTAACACTTAGCGTGTGCTCATTACATTTCTATACCTCAACACTGTCCATCTTGATAAATAAACCTTTCATTCAGAAAGCCCTTTATGATTTTGACGCCCTAAGATATTCTTCTTACAGAAGTAACAAGAATATCGATCGGCTTTGTCAACTATTTAGAGTACAAAAAATGCAAGATACGTGCATATTTATGTCAAAACTAATGAATTCAGAATTAACCTGATAAGGCCGCCTCGATACAACGGCACCGGTGCCACAGTAATGCAAGCGTCCAAGTGTTCTCAATGTACTTGACCCAAAATTTCTTAATTTCAAACGTCACGTTTTTCGTTTTGCAACTGCATTACAAACTCAATGCGACACTAATTCGACCGATACCAATAAAATTAAAATTCACATCCAAAGTCGATATCGCTTTTAAAGTGTGTGCTGACAGAAGTTTTGAGATATATTTCGAGATATCGCGGACATTCGATGCGTAATTGTTTCAATGGCGGAGTCTAAACGTGTGGCTAAAATTTATTCAAATTCATATGAGAAGGTCATGGCCGATTTAAAGATTTATTTATACAGTCTGCACGAAATCTTTGATACCGCACTATTAGTTTCTCAGCATCGAAGTTTTTTATTAAACACTACTATTGAATATAAATATCAATGACAGAGCCCACAACTTTCAGCAACGCCTGCGCGGCCACGTGTGCGTATAAGTGCGTGCGTGTGCGCGCGTATGTGTGAATTGTGGAGTCGGGTGGGGGGTGGGGCTTAGTCACCGTGATCGGGAAGTTGGCTGGCACGAGAACGGGTGCCGGCGCGGCGTGGCGAATCATCACGCCGCCCCGCAGCAGCGGCCCGCCGAGTGCGGGGGGGCCGCGCGAGGGCGCCGCGAGTGGCGACCGCCCGCGGGCCCTGTAGGCCGCGCCCGCGCCCGCCCCTCCGCCCGCCGTTACGGTGACGCCGCTGAGGGCGCCCCCCGCCCGGCCCGCGAGCGCCGCGCCGCCCGCGCCTGCCGCGCCCCGCTGCGCCGCGCCCTGGTACGAGCTCATCATGCTGCTCCGCGTCCGGGTCATCTGCCACAAACATCCAAATGTAGCGCGCTCCAGTTCCGCCGCGGCCGGCACCCACCGCCAGGGCCGGAATCGAGCGCGGGCGCATTCCCAACTGCGCACAACTACCCCCGCGGCCGCTCCGCCTGCGCAAAGCACCCTTTCTGTACACTCAGAGATTAAAGGCAAAATCGTAGCTTGTCAGTTCGATTTAAGCTTTATGATGTAATGAACATAGTAATCTACCACCGATTTGCAAATTTAGAGCACTACAAAGGACAATTGATAGGGAACTGCAGTCTTAAGTAGTTTCTTTGAACAGTACCACACATAATATTTGAAAATGAAATTGATTAAAATAACAGTAGCCCAGCACTTGCAAATCGCCGAGCAAAATCATCTCCACTCATCTTCCTCAATTGCTCATTTATTCCAGTTCGTAAAGTGCCTTTTCTGTTCAGGTTGCCCTAACAACTCCCTTAGGGCAATGACTTTTAGCTTAATATATCAGATCGGGGTCTTCCACCTACCCTTCCGTCTCACGTACCTACGCCGTACTTTGTGATCGCTCCACATCGGTTCGGCAAAGTTATCTTTAAAATTCCCAAAGGCCTCAATTTTCGTTAGCATACGAGAACGTAGACATGTAATTTGGGGAATATTACTAATATCCCTTGCAATTGGTAACGTTGTCGTTCGGAACAATGAGGTCGATAGTGGCCGGTGGTCGGCACTTAAAGATTTCGGTAATGGTTGCGCTTTGACCTTTGTTATACCTTTGGTATCTTAGCGGGGGGCTCCCAATCAATGGGCGGCGCCAGGTTGGCCTCGGGCTTGAATTTCTTGGAGCACGGTATGAGGTGGCGCGCCAGTTTTCCCTTGCCGTTATCCTCGAAGGGGCAATTGGCGCACTGGTGGTACGCCGGCGCCCTCTCCAGCTTGCCCCTGACGTTGTGCTCCGCCTCCATGTGATACAGAATATCGTGGGGGCTTCGGATCGCGAATGCGCAATAGTTACACTTGTAAAGGTTGTTTCTCATGTGGGGCGTCTCTAGGTGGTGCGCCATCACCAACAGGGAATCCGATTTGAAACTACAAAACTCGCACTTCTTTTGCTCCCACCGGTAGGGGGCGTTGTTCTCTTTGCTCAACTCCAAGTTCTTCCTCAGCGACGCGATCGACGTCTCGGTTGCTCTAGTGTTGTGCCCGGCCTTTTTCTCTCTGTGCAATTTCTTATTTTGTTGTTTGATCAAGTCGTTTTGAACAAACTCTTGGACGAAGCTAAGGCCAATGTTCATAAAAAACTTGCCTAGGGAACAGTCGAAGTAGTTGTCGGACCTCCCGGTGACGACTTTCTCAACAGTAAGCCCGGTAAGGTTTTTTATTTCCTTCATCGAATCGACTTTGCCTTTGATCACTATTGTTTTGTCATCCTCGTCGCTTACTATTTCGTCATCGGTATCCGTACTACTCTCACCGTCCCAAGACGCGTCGTCATCGTCATTCCGGCCCCTCCTTCGTTGTGCTGCAAAAAATTTAATCGAGCATCTGTTACATTGCTATCAACCACAACTATCACCTTCAATTCTAATACAACGATTTGTGGGTGTTCGATACTACCCGAATTGTCTGGCTATCAGTTTACTTTCCGTAGGTTTCTCGGAGGAAATTCCCTCCTAATTTCAGCTTTGTAGATGGGCGGGTTACTCAATAACACTACAATAGATATACCTTTCTAATCAAATTTCGCCTTGATAGGCAAATATTTGCAAGTCAAAAGAGTTGTGCGGCAACATGTAAGGAAATTATATTGAAACGACAGATTTTTAGAATGCTATTGTAACATTTAAGATACTACTAATTTCTTTTTTATAATTTTTTTATTTTGTAAACGTTATGAACTACTCCTGCAACTCCTGGCAAACATTGATTCCGTTTTTTTTGCTATTTAATTATTATGATTATTATTAAATTACTTTTACACAAAACAGTAGCTTTGTACCTCGCACGTTAGTCAAGATGGCTGCCAGCTCCTATTGCCGCACTCAGAAACCTTAATAGAGGTTACATATAGATTTCTAAAATGCCATTGAAACACATATTACGTTTACTCCTAGAGTCGTCAATTGACTACTGAAGATTTAAATGATAATGGTGTCGATTAGCTCTTGGTGGAGTGAAAGGAATTGTTAAAAAAGCAAGTTCTTCTATTTTTACTATATACAAGACCAGGCAGCTAACTAACGAGGCAACAGCTAAATTAAACTATTATCCTTATTTCCACAGGTTATGGTTTTTTTTTTTATGGAAATGGGTGGCAAAAATGCAAGCGGGTCACCGGGGTGATGGTAAGCTACCACCGCCGCCCATAGACACAAAATACTGTCTTATTGCATATTCCTTTTGGGTTACGTTAATACGTAATAATCTAGCCATGCAAAAACTAATCGCTTTATTGCTTCCATCGCTGTATGAGATATATATATATATATATATGTGTGAATGTACGTATAAATATCCATGCTTTTAATAAACACGTACCATATCGCGCCGGGGCCGTGGTGACGCTCTAGAGATGCTCTATATATTGTGACTGGCCAAAACCAGAAAATCGTTCCTTTGCAAATGTTCAAATATCTATAATAAAGTGAGTGACATCCACAAGCAACCGAACGAATTCGAAATTTAAAAAAAAACGTCACAATAGCTTAATTCGAATCAATGTGTTGATGGCCAAGAGTAACAGAAACGGCTCTCACTCTGTACTTGCATGTCGCCTGGCCACTGATGATAGCATACGCTAGTATTTTTTTTAAATTATATTAAAAATGATTATATACATATAAGACCGCACCTTCTTGCCATGGTACTTGTCTCATGGTACGTCTCAATTTGTGAACCGGTGGTAGTTTCGATGTTCATAAGATTTACAAAAGTAAATCAACCTAAATTGAATTGCAAATGTTTATTTCATATTGTTTAACCCAAACAAGAGACCCATTAGAGTTAATTGAATACATTTTAATGACGATTAACTGACTCTGGGAGGACTTTCATAAATATAGTATGTAATGTAGTTAATACATAATAGATGTCTCTGAGTGCAGCCATTATATTGGAAGAAGCCGCCGCAAAACGGTCGTAAAGTTGAAAAATAAAAATAAAAAAAGGTGAACTAACGTTTGAGCGCGATTGAATCGTTACAATTTGGAATTATATAATATGCCAATTGACAGCTCATAGCTTACCTTTTTTTACATCTCTTTTCTTTTTTTTCTCACCTCCTTCGTTTTCTTCATCCTGACCCTCATTTTGGACGTCCTCCTGGTTCCCCCCCTCGCCCCCCTCGCCCCCCCCTCGCCCCCCACACCCCCGTCACCGCCATCTTGCCTCTCCTCTGTACCCTGATTCTCCATCTCCTCCTCCCTCTCATCATTACCATTCATTGCGTCTCTGGCTATTTGCTCCTGGATCTGATTAGCGAGTACGTCAACAAACTCTCTGAAAAGCCTGACAGCGGGTTTCTCGTAAACGTACGGTACTATGAAAGATGGAGCCTCGACCACGAACATATCGTCGCTCAGCGATGGCAGAATGTTCGGCTGCGACGCGGGAGCGGACGGGGGCGCAGACGCAGACGAGCAGCCCGGCGTTGGGGAATCGATCCTGGAGCCGCCGGGGGCCACGGGGGCGCTCCCGGCCGACGTTTCGGGCTCGCCGGTGTTGCCATCGCCGGTCGGGTCGTTGCTAGAGCCGCCGGCCTGGCCCGCCCTCATCTGCTTCGGCGTCGCGTCACTGGCGACCGTCGGCCTGGGCCCGCGGCGCACCTGCTCGCCCGCGGAAAGCATCTCCGCGTCGGACGGGCCCTCGTCGTTGTAGCGTTTGCGCTTGACCGCCCGGCTGCTGCGGCGCAACTGCACCAGGCTCTCCGAAACCGAAGGCCTGACGCGAGACCCGACGCTCCCGCCAACCCCGACGCTACCGATGCCCCCGGTAGCGCGGACGCCCCCGGCGCCATCGCTGCTGCCCTCACGGTGCGGCCGCGCGGGCGGGCAGTGTTCATCGTTCTCCTTTTCATCACGCCGTGACAAAACTATTCCCTGAATGAGAGTGTTCACGTAGCTTTCCTGGGAACTTTCATCATCTGCATGTTCATCAAATGTTTCTGAAGTTATGCTCAGTGTGTCCTCCGCCAGTGGCTCTGCTGAAATTTCCGAGCCCAGTGAATCTTCCTCGAACTCTATATCTACCTGAACCTCCTGAAAAAAAATTACAATGAAAATAATATGTTTCGCATCTATAATCTTATATGAAACTCAAACAAAATGACCCAATTTAACATATCTTGTAAATATACTTGACTTAAAACCATTGTGAACTATAATAGAGATGCCATTTAGACTTAATAGTTATTTAAAAACATCTAACTTAGTGCCAGAGCATTCTTAAAACACTTAAAAATTAAAAATTCATGTTGCTAAAATGCTTTCCTGTTTGTTTGAAAATCAATGTTTATTCTGGCATACCTATATACACCGACACAAACTTCAGGGATGTAAAAAAATAATTTAACCTTTTGTTTAAACCATGGGATATATAGCTTCCGATTTTACACAAATGGATCGGGGTTGTCCAGGAACATACCAAGACTGTCACAAGACTTGTGTTAAGAGGAAACATAATAAATAATGAATAGCATAAAGTTGTAGATGTTGATAAGCAGTATTATTCATTAATATCAGGTTAACTACTTGCTCGTTTGACAAAAACTTAACTCTTTGTAAAATATTTTATTATTACAAATTCTATAAAATAAATAAAATATAAAAATAGTTTTTAATGAAAACTAAATGGAATATCTGATTTATGCCATATGTTGACTTTAACATATTTATAAGGGGCAGGGCATCATTGGTCATACCAGTCCAATACTGAAGCTCAAAGGAAGCCACTTAACTAAAACACAGCTGTTTATACTTAAAAAGGTTTGACATATATAATATATCATAATAATTGTAAAACTGTTTTTAGAAAAAAAAGTGTAAAATTAATCTTATTCATCAAGAATAACAGAACAAAAATTATTTATTATTAAAACAGCAAATTGTGGTAAGTGTTGTTCATCATCAAAAATTTAAATTTAAATGTGTCATCGATGATACTGTATAATGTATAATCCTTACAATGGTTCATTTTGAAACCATTGTAAGGATTAGTTTCTCTCTGTGATACTAAAATCATCACTGTTTTATTGCTGTTTTTGATGATGGTAATAATACTCTCTCCACTGCAGTGTATTGGTTTAGTGCTTACAACTTAATGTTGAATAGTAAAAAAACTAAATGTATAAAATTTACAACTCCCAACGTAAAAAGTGTTAAAACTGACATAATTTTATATGTTAGACCCAATATAAAAAAAATTGGCGAATGGACTTAGCTCAGCAGCCTTCGTGGTTAAAAAATTAGACAGTTTACTGATGTGGATACGGTTCGTCAGGTATATTTTAGTTATTTCCACAGTATAATGTCCTATGGCATCCTACTTTGGAGAAATGCAGCCGATATTAAAACTATTTTTATCCTGCAAAAGAGAGCTATTCGAGCGGTTTATAACCTGAGCCCCAAAGAATCACTGAGAAATTTGTTTAAAGAAATGAAAACATTGACTGTAGCTTTTCAGTACATACTTGCAAAAGTTATGTACGTCCACAAAAATAAGAATGACTTTTCAAGATTTAGTAATGTACATGATGTAACTACTAGGAACATGCATAAATTAGTTCTACCATCAACTAGCTTGAGTAGAATAAGTAAATCTTTTATGGGACAATGTATATGCTTTTATAACAAAATCGCAGAAAAAATTAATGAAATGAATCTGTTGCTAAACTCAAAATACTTGTGAAGGAATGCTTGTTCATTAAAAGCTATATAGTATTAGTGATTATTTTAATGATAAATTGATTTCAAGTGGAATTTAATAAATTGTATGTTTGTTATTTTTTGTAAAGTTAAAAATCAAAAGAAAAAAAGTCCCGCTGAGTTCCCGGTTCTTCTCAGGTCATTGGCTTTCTTCCCGAAACAGTAGTAGTTTTTTAACAATCAATAAGTAAATGCAATGCTTCTATATTGAATAAAGATAATACTGACTTTGACTGAGTATTATACTACAAATTAGACTTACTTTTACAACTTCTTCAGGTGGAACACTTATATCCATTTTTTCCATTGCATTGTTCACAGACTTAGTCTGGGAGCTGTCTAATGACTCTGTATTTGAATCACTAGTATTACCGCAAAGGTTTTCCTCAAGTGTATTAATACTATTTTCCTGAGAAGACTCCTCAGTCTCTAGACTCGGTATCTCACGAATAAGTATTTTATCATTGTTCTCGATCTCATTACTTTTTTGAGTGTTATCATCTGTTGGTTCTTGTTTTATGACCTCCTCTGAGGGTCTGTTTTCTCCGCTACTAATCTCACAGTTATTCTCCGAGGAGTGTTCATCAGTGCTTTGCTCCTTGGTTGTTGGGGAAGCAGGGAGGGATATCTCCATAGGCTCTTCCATGGTGCTATTCACTCCCCCATTCATTTTAACATCAAACTACACTCCATGTGACACCTGTCAAAACCAGTCAATAAATTAGGTTGTTTTTGTTTTCAGGTCACTACATGTACTGATTTGAAGTGACTTAGAATCACATTTTTTTTGTAGTGAACACAGTCCCCTCCCACCGCCCCTCCCCCTGGACTGGGCGAAAGCAATCAAAATGGCGGTTCCATGGTTCTACTTGTAGAGCTACGTGTACGACTCTTGGTACGGTAGCAGATATCATATCAAATTAATTTAGTTTGGACCTCCATACATACAAAGATTTTGGTCATGGAATTAATTTTGCATGGTAAAAATTCAAAACAAAAAGATAAACATACGTAAAACTATAATAAGCAGCAGCTTTTATATTATTGTCTACCCTCGACTTCACAAATTATAAAAATTTACGACTATGACTTTGATTTACAATTTTTACAAAAGTAAACAATACCGGTCGGTGTATATTCAATTAAATTTGTTCCAATAACTCATTATTTATTTCCAGATAATTGCAACAATATATTAAAGTATAATAAGATACAACACCGAATTTCGCCTGCGGTGCACTGTCACCGAAACTCCTCTGGTACTCGTCCGACGTTCACTAACTTATTGCAATGTAGCGCCAATAGGACACAACCAATTTCTTCGTTAAATGTTATATGAAACGTTTCTATTACAATGCAGACATACGCTCAGCGCTGAGGATACTTTTTATGAAAACTTCATAAACCGCCACTGAAACTTAATACAATATAATAAATTTAAAAAAATTCAGGGACTGAGCGACATGATCCCTCGCCACCGCACGAACGCAATATGGCGGGCGGCGTTAGCTGCGTCACGTGACCCCACCAATGGCGTGCTCTAACAAGTCGATAATTGATATTACCTATGGTTAAAATAAAATATTTAAAACTTACAAAAATTTATTTCTATTTATTTTTAAATAAATAATTTGTGTGAAAAAAATTTATAACTTGCAACGTTAACTTGTTTCTTATTTCTTAAGTCAAATTTGGTCAACTTTGCGACTTTGTTTTGTTCAGTAACTAAATTTTATTTAAAAAAAACCTTAAAAATCTTGACCTACTTTTGATTTCTGCACATAGTGCACATTCATTTTGTTAACTAATATCTCTGAGAAAATGATATCATGAGAAATGGTATTTCAAGCCAGTGGATCATATTAAATGTTTCTATTAAAAATCAAGGGTATATAACTTTATAATTCGCACATGGAGGTTTTCTAACGATATTTTATACTAATATAAAATTAACTCTACAAATATTATTTATTATAATATCATTCAATTCAGCTGGTATTGTAAAATATACAATCAATCGGAAAAATGTAAATCAATTATCATCATGTTAATATATACCAAACTTTTAAAGTTTTTCTAAGTTTATTGCAACAATAAAGGATTTTATTATTGGCATGGATGCAAGTCTATTGCATTTTTGTATGTTGGCCATCAGTCTATTCTACTCATGCTTACATACAATCATCAGGTGTAAGCAAGATAAAAACACTTTATATTTTGCTTGAATCTAAGTATGGTACCAGAACTAAAACGAAAAATTATTGATACCACACCATTAGCACTTTACGAAACGTAAAAAAAACTTTTAATGTAAAAAAAAATTTGTAGATCAATTCATTTGTAGATTCCCAGATATTTTAAAAAAACATTTTAGTTTATAACCCATAATGACAAAACATGAGAGTAGACTAGCCATTTAGGATAAAAAAGAAAGTTATTAAGTTTTATAGAATACCTAATATACTTGGAAGGTTTAAATGTGGAAGTATAATAAAATACCGTTAATCTTGTAATTGCGGTCATTGATTCGCACTGCCATGACAGTCCTGAATTTGATGGAAAGAAACAATTTTACGCTACCAAGATTAATTTTATAAAAGTTTTCATTCATTAGTGTTTTTTTAGTGTCTGGGTGCTTATATAAAGTATGTTTAAGTATGTTTACCAGTTATCTGGTACCCATGGTACAAGCGTTGCTTAGTTTGGGACTAGAGAACGTTGTGTAAACGTAAATGTGTCCTAAAATATTTATATTTATATATATATATATTATTTATATATTCTCAGCACACAAACTTTTAATATATTATATCCCATGTGGTTGCGTTGCTTCTTTCGGTTTCGAGAAACTTAAATATGAACCATCATTTTACTTATTTCTCATGAAATTTATAAAGTTATATTCAACTTAAATTTCGTCCAAGTCACCTTTTGCTGTACCACAATCATGTGATGAATGTATAGTTCTTTTAAACTAGGCTAAATACTGCTGATAAGTTAAAACCAGTAATAGCCATAGTTATTAGTGAATAACTACATAGACATTAAAACGTATCTTGTCGAATATTTGCAATATAAAACACATCCCTAATTCCCATTTCTACATATCTGCTTCCAGAGAAATCACATAACTCATAATACATTGATGATTCTCTTTGTGTTACGTAATAATATATTTAAACAGATAGAGCCCCTCCGATATGATTTGAACAATGTCGACAATAACTATGTTTATTTGACGTCGAACAAAGTAGTCATGTTTTCAACCTTAAAAAATGAGCTAAATTAAATGCCAGCTTACAAACATTTTTGTTGAACAAAAATTTTTTCTGGTTTAATTTAGCTTCCGGAGCTAGGATCCGCAGAGAGGCTGTAATTTGCAGTATGAACTCCAGGGGCTTATAAGTCGGTATCGTCGTCTTGATTCGTGCAGTAGAACAGGCGTGAGCTTTTACATATGGAATTGCTTTATCGGAGTTCGAGGAACGCGATGTGGGTCGGTTTCTCACTTGTTGGATAGTCAATGCTGCTCGGGCGGGGGAGGGGGGGGGGGGGTGTACTTAAACATAAACTTCGACAGAAATTGTATTATACCAACCTGCAATGTAGTCTTGTTGTTTATACCAGATTTATACCAGATGCCAGAGGTCTATAGTCCGTACTACGTGTATAAAAATCAGGGCCCCGAGTCAACACCATTAAAATATATGGACAAATTTAGATTTTCGCGAAAACTTCTAAGTACCAGGAAGGTTTAGGGTCAACAACCCATATGGTAGTTCCCGTTGACCTAGAATCACGAATCAGAAAAGCAATACATAGTTAACCCCAATTAAGATAGTCCTCTGAGTTGTATGGGCGCTCATACAATTTACAGATTTACAATGACTTCATTAAAACTTAGACACCAAGAAAATTATACCAATTTTTTTATGGCGGTATAATAGGTAGGTACTGAGCCATCTGCGTAAGAGTTCGACTCGTACTTGACCGGGTTTTTTAATTAAATCAAGAACCCTGACAGCTTAAAAGCTATTACTAAACATGCTATCTACAAAGTCGTCATTGCTTAGTCGATTCTGACAGCTCCTAGGTTTAAATCCACGAAACCATCTAGGGAATAGAATGTGACAAATAAAAAGACACTGGTAGATACAAGCGGTTGATAAACTACTCTCTTTTTCAGGGCAAATATATATAATATGTGAAGAAGCAACTAATTAAGGCTCTACTTATTTGAAATCGGTAGGTACACTCCGTTAACGACATTTGAAAAAAGTAAAATAATCCCTGTCTGCGTGACCTCCCCCCCGTCGCGTCTTCTCACACTCCGGTAGTGCCCTATCACCCACACTACCTCATAGGTAGACGTTGCCCACAACCCCGCATGAGCGAACACGGCGCCATTTTAAAATGTTCAACAATATAAACCGCGAATATCACGCGAGTAATTTAAATGACTTCCCAAATATATCGTACATACATTTTCACATATTGATATATTAAATGGCATGTTTCAAATTGTTTTTTTATTAAACTCATTTTAGGTATAGTTTTAGAAAGACTACTGGATTCATAATGCGAAATAGATAGACTGCTGAAGGGTGTATGGTTCTACTGCTCGTGGACGTGTCGGAAAACCCACGAGAACGCCTCATTACTAAACCCATAATAAAGGGCCAATCGTTGTTCACATTTAGGATGTCGCATGTGTAAGACGAACGTTTGTATTCTCTTGTTATTAAAGGAGCATTCAATAACTTGTATACAAAGCTTGCTTAAGTGTTGCCAGGTACTAAACGTTTCGCAGCGTCAGTCTACTGAAACGGATCGATAGCGTAAGTTGATACATAAATATAGGTAATATGTATATTCGGAGCGTCTGGTGTTCGACGCCCAGATATCGAATTTCCAATTTTAGCTATTATCGGCTGGCTCTTGAACGGACCCAATTAGTATATAAAAATAAATTCAATTATTGGTTTTACCAATATTTAGAAATAATGTTCCTTCTTCGGCAAAATGCAAAAATATATTATATGATAAGATTTTTATCTTTAGTAACAAAACCGATCCAATGCAAAAATAATTTTTAATATCGTCAATGGCGCAAATATGAGTCTCTATATTTAGATTATGTATTTGTGCCATTTGCTGTTGAAATATAGGATCTGTGAGGTCTCCAACCATAATTATTTTTAAAAGTTTATGTCCTAAGCTTAACGCCGCCGCTGATGCTGATAAGTTAATATATATATATATATATATATATATATATATATATATATATATATATATATATATATATATATATAATAGCTTTAATTAATTATGAAATATTGACTTACATAAGGTTCACACTGCATACTAATGAAGAAACTAGCAAAAAAATGTGTAAGTACTAATTTTATTTTGCTAGCTATGTACTAATACTGCTAACGTTTATTTTTTTTATTAACTATACTCGTTATGACATGTATAACTCCATATAACATGTTATACTCCGTATAACATGATACAAGTGACGTACACTGTTCCGTGCTTACGTATTTACTCTGTAAATAAAGGTAGGTACCTAATTTATCAAATCCGTGAATAATGACATTAAATTCCTTTTCCTTGGATACCCGTCTTTTATTCAAAAAAGTTTATTAATTTTGACATGCTTAT